CTGGAATAAACCAACTCTTGTTACTCTTCAGCCGAAGTAAGTGCAAGGCTGAAGAGTACGACAGATCACGTTGCACCTTCCACAAAGAAAAGGGGCACCGAACTGAGAATTGCACACCGTTAAGACAACACTTGGAAGAGTTGGTGGCAGTAGGCCACTTGGACAAATATATTGAAGGAGGGACGCAACCAGCCCTCCAAGATCATAATAACCATCCCAATGGGATGCCGATCGACGCCCCACCACAAGGCATCATCAATGTAATACATGGAGTCTTTGAACCTGAGCGTGTATGCGAGCTCAGAGGATCAATCAAGAAGGCTGAGCACTTTAGGGAAGTATTAAGTGCCCAACCTGCCATCAAGAAGGGGAAAACAGAGGCAACAAACGTCATGTCTTTTTTGGATAAGGACCTGGATCGAATATACTGTCCTCACAATGATGCTCTGGTTGTCACTATCCGAGTCAAAGATTTTGACGTTAAGCGGATTCTGATTGACCAGGGTAGTTCATGTGAAATCATGTACTACGACACATTTAAACAACTGAAGCTGCAAGACAAAGACTTGGCGCCTGCAGTTTCTCCCCTGATTGGATTCAACTCCATGCCAGAGTGGCCTGTCGGCAAAATAATTCTTCCAGTCAGAGCAGGGAGTGTAATAAAACAAGTGGAGTTCTGGGTATTGAAGGTCCCCTCCACATACAACATCATCTTGGGCAGAACATGGCTGCATGCCATGCATTCGGTAGCGTCATCATACCATTAGGTAATGCGGTTCCCCAATGACACCGGCATAATTGAAGAAGTCTATGCAACAAGTTGGGCCTTGAGTGACGAAATTTTTTTGTCTTCAAAGAGCTAATTTCGTCACTATAGATATTTGTGAGGAAATATTTTCGTCACCGGTTTCGTCATTGAATGTTTGTCACTAAAAACCAACGTGACGAAAAATAATTTCGTCACCAATGAAATTACTTCAGCGACGAAATTTTTTGTCACCAATAAAACAATATTTTGTCGCCAAAAATTCTCATTTTCGTCACCAAATAGTTTTTCAATACCATATTTATAACTTTAGGTGATGAATAAATTTGTCACGCATGTTGATCATTGATGAGGAAATAATTTCGTCACAATAAGATGTAAAGATGACGAGATTTTTCGTCTTCGAAAGTCATAATTTTGTCACCAATAAAACAATGTTAGGTACGTAGAGATGAGAGGTTGCCTTCAGCTTTGAGGCAGCTCCCTGTTCCTGGTTCTCAAGCCTCAGCAGATGAGCAAATAAAACTGTATCAGATGGCAAGCGGGGTTTTGAGGAGAAAGGAGCCTGATGGTGGGTGGGATGGAGATAGGATTAGCTACAAACAACCCTCATGGCAGTAGGACTACAGGGATATGGAAAAATTTGTCAGTCTTTTAAGGCCTGGTGAGCCATCTATTCAAACTTCTGTTACAGTAATTGAACTTTGATGCTGATGTAGTTTCACATTATGTATATATAGGATGCACTCCAAAATCTTGTGAAAGTGAATCAATAAAAAGATACACAAATACAAATACAAGAAAAAGATTGCTAAGTTTGCATTAAAGATAATGTGCTTCTTAGGTACGTAGAGATGAGAGGTTGCCTTCAGCTTTGAGGCAGCTCCCTGTTCCTGGTTCTCAAGCCTCAGCAGATGAGCAAATAAAACTGTATCAGATGGCAAGCGGGGTTTTGAGGAGAAAGGAGCCTGATGGTGGGTGGGATGGAGATAGGATTAGCTACAAACAACCCTCATGGCAGTAGGACTACAGGGATATGGAAAAATTTGTCAGTCTTTTAAGGCCTGGTGAGCCATCTATTCAAACTTCTGTTACAGTAATTGAACTTTGATGCTGATGTAGTTTCACATTATGTATATATAGGATGCACTCCAAAATCTTGTGAAAGTGAATCAATAAAAAGATACACAAATACAAATACAAGAAAAAGATTGCTAAGTTTGCATTAAAGATAATGTGCTTCTTAGGTACGTAGTTTACCTTTTGCTCATCTCTTAAAATTTCCATTTATGCAGATGGAAAATACATAAAATGGAGAAATATTATGTTCAAGACACAGTAGCTGTAAATAAACTAAGTATGACAATAATGATTTGGTACAACAAAAAGAAAATACACCTTAAAAACACAATTAGTACTTCTCATCAAACCTCTCCACATAAAAAAAGAGGCTCATGGTTAAGTAGGTATATTCTCAGAACAGTTTCAGAACAGTAGCATCCCCCATTAACTCCATGCTTAGTGAACTCATAAAACATGATTATAGTAAAGATTTTAAAGGGAACATGATTTGTTTAATTGAACTATTTTATTTTCTTAAATTCTAGAGCTTTGTTTTTCTCAATAAGGAATTCAATGACAGCCATGACTACTTAATCATTGTTTCTCAAACTAACTTAACAAAGAGGGTCTTAAAAATGCTTTCTTCTGCAGTCCTGATTTAGGTAGGCAGTTTTTATTTTTATTGCAGTTATGAAATTAGCTCAAAGGTTGAAATTTTAGCTTTGGATTTTTTAGGAAATCACATTATCATGTTGTTTTTCAAGCAAGACAGTTTTTCATGTGTCTTAATGGGAACATGGCCACCGGGCCCGATGGCCACCCGGCTAGTTTCTTTAAGAGTTCCTGGGAGGTTTTGGGTAAAAATATTGTTGAGGCTATTAAATTTTTTTTTTACTTCTGGTGAACTTCTTAAGGAGGCTAACAGGACCTTGATTGCTTTGGTCCTTAAGGTTGATGAAAGTAGGAAGAAAGAGAGAGGAAATCTTTCAAAGATATATCTTTATTATTAGTTGCACACAACATCAACATTACACGAGTTCATTTATATACACACATATATGATTTGCTCTAACTAACTAACTAAGATTAACTAACTAAGTTTGTTACAGATCAGTTACAGAATCTATTGAGAATCAGTTGGAATCTGTTGAGAATCAGTTGTAGATTTGTTATATACAAATGATCTCATGTACACAGACTAGATTCTTGTATTGGTCTCTCATCATGAACACCAATAGTTGACTTGCAACTATCATACACACCAGAATGAGCAGATCAATATGCACCTGCAGTAGCTGAAGATATAGCAGAGGCATCAGATGTAGTAGGTGCAGCTGATATAGATGCAGCTAATATAGATGTTGATGTAGCTAGATGATCAACTGAAGCTGGATGAACTTGAGCTAATGTTGATGAAGCTAGATGATCAACTGAAGCTGAAGCTTTATCAGGCCCCTTCAAGCTGAAAGGTGGGAGACCAACTAAAAGCTTGGATTGAAGAAAAAAAAAACGAGACACAGGAAGAGATTTGGTAAAAATATATGACACTTGATCAGAAGAAGACACATGACGAATAAGAAGTTGCTTAGCTGAAACTTTTTCGCGCACAAAATGATAATCGATCTCGATATGCTTTGTCCGAGCATGAAACACAAGATTAGCAGCAAGAGAAAGAGCAGACAAGTTATCACACCAAAGCACAGGAACAGAAGAATGGCATATATGCATATCTTTAAGAAGCATGTGAAGCCAAGCAACTTCAGCACTTGCAAGAGCCATAGCCCTGTATTCGGCTTCAGTAGAAGATATAGCAAAGGCAACAAATGTAGTAGGTGCAGCTGATATAGATGTTGATGAAGCTAGATGATCAACTGAAGATGGATAAAATTGAGCTGATGTTGATAAAGTTAGATGATCAACTGAAGCTGAAGCTTTATCAAAGGTTCCTAACCCTAGCAAGGTAGGGAACTACCGTCCTAAATAATAAAACTTGTGTGGACCTAGTGAGACTTGTGGGTTGAGTGATGTTGAGCATATAAATATTTTTTTTTCTAATGTTTGTTATACAAATTGGCAGGCTGATACATATTATGAGGAAATTTTTTGTTTGGTGGGTTGAGATGAATGTGAGCATATATTTTCTTGAGTGTTTTATGTGTGATTTGAGAGTGTGGATTGAGTGGCTAAGGACAATACTGTGTGTTTGTTCTCAACGTATTTTGTTCTTTCCTTTTGGTCCTAACTGATGGTTGTTATACTACTTAAAATGGGTCTCTCATGTGTTTAACACCCCCATAGCTCTCGTTATGTGGTGGTTGAACATATGTAATCCTATGTTTGAGTTGGTGTATCTGCTGCTTGGGTTTGCTGAAACTGGGCAGTGGTTGGTTCTAGTATACCTACTGCTATTATTGGGGTTCTATGCACCTTTAGCTGAGCTATACTGTAGGGCATGATGCAGCTGTGCTATGGTCTAAAATCTGGGACTATTATAGTGAGCTATTTAGGCAAATGATTACCAAGTTCCCAAATAATTTCTCTTTCTTCAATGTTTTTGTTAAATCCTGATGGAGCCATGTAGTTGGTTGATGCTGCCGTAGTTGGTGTATCTGGTTGCTATTGGCTACTACTGTTACTATTGGTATTACTGCCTTTTCTATTGGAAAATTTTGCTACAGCTAGAATGTTGTTTATTTTTGTCATGTACAGTTGGTTATTTGTTGGAGTTTTCGGATGCTCCTCCTAAATTGTTTGTTTTTATTTTTGTTTGCTGTCTATATTTCCTTATTTTATGGCCCCTCTTTGTCTGTTTGGGGTTTGATTTGGTCATGTTCTAGGGTTTAGGCTTTTTATTTTTTTTAGCAGCGTTTTAGTCTTTGTCCTGTTGTTATTAGGGCCTGAGGTATACCCCTTGTACATGTTATATATTTCATTGTCTTAATTTATGACTTATTCACCTAAAAAAGACAGTTTTTCTTGAAATTAGCTCAATGGTTGTACTTCTAAATTTCCTATGCAGGCAAATGATTACCAAGTTCCCAAATAATTTCTCCTTCTTCAATGTTTTTGTTCAAAGAACTAGGAATGCTTGAAAACTAAGAGCATCTCCAATAGAGATGTTAACTTTGTGTGTTTTATGACAAAAAATTACAAGTGAGACCAAAACTAAAATAAAAAATGAAAAATCAATCCCTATGAAACAAATTTCTTGAAATTTTTTGCACCATAGAATTATATTCAAACAGAGAATTTGTTTAGCTTAGTAAAATTCAGTATCTTACCGACACTAGATTGGGGGGCTGCCTCCCTCGGTGCCTCCATATCGACATCAAGTGGCTGTGAGTGTTGGGTATCTACATTGTCATGTAAATCCCCATTTGGAACAACAATTGCCTCGTGCGAAGGTTGAAGAGATGACTGCGCCAATCGTTTTGGTGGCATTGGTAAGCCCTAAAAAACATAATACAAAAGCATAAACAATAAATACATAAAAATGGATAAGTAATGATATGTATATGGAAATCCATCAAGGCCACTGTTGATATTTGTAATCTGATCTAGTCCACTCCTTTTCTTCCCAAGACTGGTCCTCACAAGTGGTTGCTTTGAATATTTTTAAAATGGTCAGGTAAAGGGTGTTGTCACTCAAAAACCTGTAGGCAAGTTGAGTGGTTGAGTGGTTGTGAGCTACCAGTTGTTCTAATATCTTTAATTGGTTTTTCCTAATTGTGTGCTTTGCAAGTTGTCAATCTGGTGTTTCCAACATGGTCAAATTATGTCTTATTTCATTATACATTTGTGTTCCAGCTAACTTACTCCTACAGTTTGTTTTGGCATGCATATTGTTGTATGTAGGATGTATATTTTCTAGTTTTATTTTATGACTTATTCATCCAATAAAGTATACGGAAATATAAAGATAGTATTAACAAAGCATCGTTAACAAATATATAGCTATCGGTGACATAATAAAAAAAAAATAATGGGCATACATATAGTACCTCATCGTCAACACTTTCAAAGGACTCAGCATCAGTGTCATCCTCATGATCTGACGGTATGTAGTCATCATCATCTACCCTAATTTTCTTTCCCTTTTGATGAACACGATTGGGCTGAGTAGAACCCATCAAAGAAGTTGCTATACGCTTCAATTGTAAAGCATCCATTTTCTTATTATTCTTCTTGATTGTCTTATATCTTTCCATTTCGTACTCTGTTCGCTTCTGTTTCGCTAGAAAACCTGGTTTGATCCATTGTTTCTCCCCTTTGGCCATTTGGTTAACTAAAAAGCATAAATTGATATCAAACATGAAATATAAAGCATAATTTTACTTGAAGAGACGCAACAAAATATATCATAACCATGTAATGCATTAAAAACATATGTCCATATAGAAACCTAAAAAAAACAAAAACTACATATCATAATCCATATCAGGTTCCATATCAAGATCCATATCATCATCAAGTACGCCAAGTTCTTCATCTTCTTCATCATCTCTACCATCTCTCTTTGTTTTATTTGAAATAACCTCAGCTTCAATATCATCCCTATGAAATCGAATAATATCTTCAATGTTGATCGGGACAACTGAGTTAATGTTTTCTTGTTGGAATGCATCATTAAATTCTGGTTGATCTGGTGGTTCTCCATCACCAACCTCTGGCACATCAAACACACCTCTATGTTGGACCCGTTGCACGACTTGCCAAGGTTGCCCCCATTTGGTGTCATTCAGGTAGAACACTAGCTTAGCTTGACTAGGCAAGATAAAAGGGTCAGATTGATACCATCGGCTTGTGACATCGATGCTTGTGCAATATGTGTCAGCTCGTACTGTTCTACTTCTACCAGTGTTACCGGTGTTGTACCATTCACATTGAAACAAAACAACTTTATTTTGACACATGTACTCAAATTCCCAAATATTGCACAAGTGACCGTAGAATTCGTGCATCTCTCCCTTGTAGTCCCCTTCGGTAAGCACACCACTGTTTTGACTCTTACAACGATTGTCTAATTCCTTCGTGTGGAATCTGACACCATTGATTACACAACCCGAGTACTCTTTCACTAGCAAATTAGGACCATTCGCTAAGGACCACAATTCTTCGGTTGCTTCTGGTGCCTCATCAACTCTCAATCTATTTATCTACATCCACATGCAATGTGCAACACTTGAATTATGTTAGTAATGTTTGTATTTTATGCAAGCCTAATAGTGTTTGGCCAATTGTGAATATTAAAAATGACTTACATATTCTTTGAACCACTTTGGAAATTCCTTCTGTTGTATCTGAGTTATATCTTGTCCACTGGGAATTGGTAACAAATTCTTGTGTTCCCTACTCAAATAGTTTTTGTTAATGTGTGAAATACTACTATTATTAATGACTAATAACATGATAATTGCTAAAATATATATAATTATAAGAAACACGTACTGAAGATACTTCTCTATCTCAGGGCTATTGTATAATAAGAACCAATGAGGAATATCACGAAGTTCCCGTGACATCTCAACATGCTTTCTGATTTGGCCAATAGGACGAGCAGTTTCGGTGAATATTATCAAACCTTCACGACGGACTCCATAATCTTCATTTCGTGCATCTCGATTATGCACGGTTTCAATCCCTTCAAGATACATTGAGCAAAAAGTAATGCACTCCTTGACAATGTAAGCCTCTGCAATAGAACCTTCTGGTCGAGCTCGATCGGTGACAAACTTTTTCAAAGATCCGAGAAACCTTGAAGAGATAACCAATTAGGAGTATGGTTAGGCACACAACATAATCTATACCTTTCATTTGAAAGTACAATTTTTGAAATTACCTTTCAATCGGGTACATCCACCGATATTGCACAGGTCCTCCGAGAATAGTCTCACGTGGCAAGTGAATAGCCAAATGAACCATCACATCGAAGAAGGCTGGAGGAAAGATCTTTTCAAACTTACATAGTATGAGTACTATACGTTCCTCTAATTTCTCCATTTCACTTCGTTTCAGTGTCCTTGAGCATAGATCTTGGAAGAAGCTACCTAACTCAAAAAGTGTTGTACTGATCTCTTTATCTACGTAACCACGCATCCCAATAGGAAGAATCCGTTGTATAAGTACATGGCAGTCGTGGCTTTTCAATCCTGTCAATCTACCATTTTTTGCATTTACTGATCTCGAAATGTTTGCCGCGTACCCATCTGGATACTTGACTGATTTCAAGAATTCAAAGAAACCCTCTCTCTCTTTAGGGGTCAATGAGAAGCTGGCTCGCGACTTCACATATGATCCATCGGGATTTGTTGTCAGCCACAATTCTTTCCTTATATTCATGTCTTCTAAATCCATTCGTGCCTTATCTGTATCCTTGTTCTTTCCATCAATTCCCAACATCGTTCCAAAAACATTTTCACTAAAGTTCTTCTCCACATGCATGACATCAATGTTGTGTCGAAGCCTCCTTTTCTTCCAATACGGTAGCTCATACAAGATGTTTACCTTTGTCCAATTTGGGTTCTGACGAGGTCTTTTCCTGTTGTTTGGATGTTTTCCATATGTGACACCCGTCACGCTGCCCAATTGTTCTTCAATCTTTTCTATCGGTATCACCAAAGATCTCTTCCGTTTTTCATGCTTGCCATTATATGCTCTACTCTTTCGCCTTTCTGGGTGGTCATCAGGCAAGTAGCATCGATGGTTACTGTACGCAGTCTTACTTCTTAAAGATTCAAAATATGGTTCATCATTGCAAGTGTAACAAGAGTAATGACCCTTTGTTCTCCATCCAAAAATGTCACCAAATGCGGGCCAATCATGTATCGTCCACAGCAAAGCTGCACGCATGCAGAAAGTCTCACCAGTCGAGGCATCATAGGTTAATGTACCATGCACGACTTGCCAAGGTTGCCCCCATTTGGTGTCATTCAGGTAGAACACTAGCTTAGCTTGACTAGGCAAGATAAAAGGGTCAGATTGATACCATCGGCTTGTGACATCGATGCTTGTGCAATATGTGTCAGCTCGTACTGTTCTACTTCTACCAGTGTTACCGGTGTTGTACCATTCACATTCAAACAAAACAACTTTATTTTGACACATGTACTCAAATTCCCAAATATTGCACAAGTGACCGTAGAATTCGTGCATCTCTCCCTTGTAGTCCCCTTCGGTAAGCACACCACTGTTTTGACTCTTACGACGATTGTCTAATTCCTTCGT